CACACAGGAGTAAATAAACATTGAAACGTGAAATGAACTTGCAAACGTATTGCCTGCGCGCCTCCGCTTTTAACAAATTTATTCCCAAAAGCCTGGCTTTTTAAATCTCTACTAATTGCTATATATACAATCGTAGTTATATTTCATTATAGAATATTTTGCCATAGGTTAGAAAGAGAGCGATCGTCTTCTCGAAAGCCCCGTAAAAAGCCCACGCGAGCGAGGGATACAACTATTAGCTCTATTAGAACCCATTTTTTATGACAGTAGCAGTATCGCTAAGGCAATACGAGGTCATCGGTCGACATGATGTGTCGAACAGTGGAGTGCGCGGGAAATTTGAAATAGCTTGAAACATTTTACGAGTTATTTTATTAGTTGATATTATTGATTGATTCAGGTTTAATAAGGCAAGCCCGGCTTTTCGGCTTTAAAGGAAGCTTCGCCACTGCCACTAACATCAATACTACCGCTAAAATTAATACTACCACTAACATCAATACTAGCAATACTACCACTAATATCAATACTATTACTCCCAACACCACTACACCCGCCAAGAGCGGTCAGCCATCGCAGTTTATTTCTCCTGACGATGGCTCGCTATAGGCGAAACACGACGTGTTATATTATCAACGGTGGTGTCTTCCCTAGTGGAGTTGATTGAAGTTGTTTGTAAGTTGCAGTAGCCTCTCACCATCAAGTGCTTTGTTTGCTGCTTCTTGTATTAAGTAATCTTTTTTTATCTTCAAAAGCCTGTGAAAGTCCACTACTGGATATAAGCTGGATTATTATCATCGTCACGCTTGGCGGATTGACGATAGCAGTATCAGACGTCTCGCACCGTATCGTCGGTCGTTGTATTATACGTCTGGTGTAAACTAAATAAAATAATTATACTTCATATTATACCGTTATAAACTATTAAAATCCACTTCTGAACATAGGCCTCCCCTAAAGATTGCCTCGTAGGGGGGATATTTGCCATAGTTGTCTTGGAAAGCGGGTTGTCAACCGCAGTTTTTTATGCTTGATTGTCATTACGAAGACGCTGCTGCCCATCTCCTAATTTATTTCCTTCTGTGGCCACGGGATGATATGGGGTAGTGAACATTCTTAGATCGCCACTATACGGATACTTCATATTATGCCATAACATTTTCCTGGAATTTACAATAGGCGCCTCTTACTACACCTATGGGATAGAATAGAGCGGTTGATTCGGTTACGCCACCAATAGATTGGTTATAAAAATGTCAACAATTTCTTCAAACGTCAACTTTATCCGGGCGTGGTAGCTGTAAAAAGGGGGAAAATGCCTCTTGTACAAATCCGTTACTTTTTACATGTGTGCTAGTCTTAAAGTTTCTTTAGCTTTCAATGCTTCATCATCATTAAAATACTTTTGTAAGCATTTTAATGATGATTGATGATGACGTTTATGTTTTTGGTCAAGTTACAAATTATAGAAAGTAGGGGATGGAAACAATGAAATAAATTCACTCACACGGTTAATATGTGATAAATAATTTATTGTCTGGCGTATTTTACAATATCAATGTATGTCTACGTGTATTATCACTTTACCCATCATCCTAAGATTAGTTTTTAACTGTTGAAAGTACTTACGTCACCAATAAAGATGTGTCACGTTCGCGGGAAAGTAAGGGTGATTGTTATGTTTAGAAATTTCTGTGTTTAAAAATTCGAAACAATTTTCGTCTAAAAACTTCAATCGATTTATTATTTTAAACATTTTATCGAATTTATTTTAATAGCATGGTAATGATCTATGATAGACATAAACATATTTTTTTAAAGTATTACAGTGTTCGCCATAAAACTGAATGTAGATTTTACTTTAGTGTGGTAAACTAAATTAGAAATACGTATTTTCAAATAAAAACGTTACTTTATAAATAAATTTTTTTGCTTTGTTTAACTGTCTACTAGGCAGGAAGCCAATTAACACAAATTACTAAGCTTTTTATGCCTAGACCTTCATCAACGCATATAAAATCTGCTTCTTTCAAATTAGTTGTAGTGATATTGTTTTGCATTGTGTACTTAATATTGCATTGCAGAAGTCACTTACCGTCAGGTGGACTATTAGTTTTTTTGTCACGTTGTTATAAAAAAACGAACAGAAGAAACACACACGGGTGAAAAATGTTGCAGAAGTCCTAGACGAATGTTTATCGATCAAATTGGTGATATATTAAAGATTATTTTTATAGAATAAGGCTGACAAACGAGCACACGGTCCATCTGATGGTAAGTGGATGCTGTCGCCCATAGACATCTACATTTATCTTCAATTAAGAATCAAAATGCAGATGCGTTGCCAGCCCTAAGGACTGTAATGGAATGCATCGTTTCCAGTAAAAAGGGTCTCCGGTTCTCTACACTCACCATACGAAACACAGCAGCATTAAGCTGATCGCAACCACAATATAGCTGCAGCATGGCTCTACCACGTAAAAAACAACACAAATAGGCCAAATTAAGAGTACCCTTAACCGACGAGTATGTATATGGATGTGAAGGAGGCGAGAGAGGTGTGTCAGGATCGTGCCAAATGAAAGTCCGTAGTCTCTGTCTATCCCTCTGGGTGACAAGCGTGAGTGTTTATATTAAATGTTATGTTAAGAAACACAAGGATTTTATTCAAAGATACCTACTAAATGGTCAGTATGATATCAATATTCACCCTTAGTTTCACGCGATTTTTAAAAATTAACATTGATGAGAAAGTTCGAAATGTATTGCCAAAATTTTATTCGAGTCTCGACGTTAAAAACTATTTTAATTATTTTTATCATAGCGATATGGCACATCACATCAGATGTATGCTTCGCGTCATTTTTTGAAATTTATTAACATTAATGTCATGATAGTTTACGTCTAGTTGAATGTACAGTCATAGATAAAAGTGTTAAGAAAGTCAAATAAATAACATTATTTAATAAACAAGATTTATTAGAAGTTATAATAAGTTGAGATTTCTGATGAGCTAGCTATCTTCATAACACTTTTATAAGCGACTACATGATGTTAGGTATTTACGTAACTATAATTGGAAGATTAACAATAACTTTTGTACCCATCTTATGTTGCGACATGAAAATTCGAGACTTATTCCAAAGTTTAACGGATAGACAAACACAAACGAATACACAAATTTATATGTATATCTACGGAATAAGTCTTGTTTCACTTAATTCTATAATTATAATTAGTGAGATACCTATAAATGCAAATTACAATTACGCTAGCGATGCTTTGGCATAGACAAAACATGGTATTTCTTTATAGTCTTCTAATAAACGCAGAGAATTATTACATTGCTCTGCGATAAATTTAATTGGTTATTATTTTACTGTAATAGGAAAAAGTATCCGAATATAGTTTTTTTAATTACTTATATTTTTAAACATGTTGAACAATTTATTGCCACAGACAATATATTTCATTATAATTAGTTAATATATAAATTGATTCAGTGTTTTATTCTGCCGTCCTAAATATTAACACCATAACTCATATAAACACCGTAGTCAATAAAATGCAGAAAACGAAGTCTCTATAAATATGTAAAGTCTGAAAAAATGTTTAATAATCAATGAAGATTAGTCATGTCTAGGGAATATGGTCAACGGGGAACAGGATCATACTGCACAAGTGCGCAAGCACAGGCATTCTTTATTAGTCCAATCTGACACGACTGGAGAGTAGGGTCGCTTTACGTGCTTTACGAGGCATGGGGGTGAAATACAGTCAACTTCCTGACTCCGGGCTACAAAACGCAATACGGATTTTGGTTCGACTCAGGATTCAAAACGATAAGATCAGCAGTCAGTCTTGCGACCATTAGACCAATGAGACAGTCACAAAAAATGTTTAATAGGGATACTAAATGCAGTATAATCGTTTTAATTAGTACTGCACGTGTCAGACAGAAAACAACATTACTATCCTTCATTATGCAGAAATAAATAAAAATCAAACAAATCTTTTATAGATTGAACGGCAGAATTTTAGATTATGATAATGCATTAGATACATTAAAATTGCTTGTCGGTAAGCCATCTTGTTTTGAAATCGTTACTCGGGATAATCCGTCAATAACAAAGCTAAGCTTGTGTGAGACCTACGGCATTGAGTTATGCTTAACCACTGGTAGGTATTTGAATAACAGACATGAGCATCGAACTGCTTAGCAAAGATTCCACAAAATACACCTTAGAAGTAATTATATCAATATTAAACAAAATTAACAACAAAGAAAGAACAATCACTTAGAACGAATGGTAATAAAATTTAATTACGATGCGATAATATCTTTACAAGTATTTACAGTTTGGTATTTTAACATATACTAATACAAAGACAAAAAGAGGTTTAGTTTAGTAATTTACATAACAAGTTCTATAACAAAATCTAATTGTGGCCTTCTATTTACAATAGCCGAGATTATTATCTTACACTCACATCATACATTCATACATCATTTGCCATTCAGAATTCTGTTTAAAGTTATATCGATTTTAAATGTCAAAACATCGATTTGGCGTTGATATGCAGTAAGAAGTTTTCTTAGTTTTAATTTTAATCAATCAGTTAATATTATTGCACATGATTTAATATATTAATCCAAAAATGAGAGGATACAATCTTACTGACCTATTTTTATATTACCAAGATTACGTTTGTTTAGCGAATTTAGCGATATTTAGGGAAATTTTAAATACATAAAATCAAAATGGAACGCTTGTATTTTTAGGAAACGCAACAAAATTTAGGATATTTGAGAGCCAACAGACTAAAAACATTCGTCCTTTAAGAACACCTGATATTTATCACGGATGACCTGATTTATTTAAGATGACTAAGGTAGCTCTTGCAAAACCCGGTCAAATTGAAAAAATGCACAGTCAAATTAATTAATAATTCAGATCCGTTTTATTTAATATCCTAAAGTTTGCAACATTTAAAACAGTTTATAGTACAGGCGTGTCATTAACTCGTGGTGGCGGGGGCGCGGGTACATTATTATTAGCTGTAGCGTCTTGATTAGCAGCGGTACAGTAGAACTGTTTGTGAGCTTTATAAGTATTGACATATTTAAACGATATATCGCAGGATTTACAATAATTAGGGGTTTCTTCCATTTCAGCATCCGGTTCTTTTTTTATGTCAGCAGCGGGGATTGGAGACGTCTGTTCTTCGGGCTCAGGCTCTTCAGTGGAGTGGACTAAACGCGCGTGCCTCACTACGTTGCCTCGATACGTGGATGTGTAGGCGCAACTGCTGCAGCGGTGGATTCGGTCACCGGCAGTAGCCGGGCTCGGTGAGGTCGTCTCGCGATTGTCCTCCTCGAGTACGCAAGAAATGAAACTCTCCTCCTGGAAACAAGAAAGTGTAATAATTTAATAATTTAGGATAAGAAAATGTTTGGATGAACGATAGAAATGTGATTCATTTTTCTAATTATTTCTAATTAACAATAAAAAGCTTTTGATCCGATTTAGTTATAATATTTTACTTATAAATGTTTTTTTTTATAACACTGTAGTGTCAAACGAACTTATAGTCCTCGTGATGGTAAGTGGCCACTGCAGTACATAGACACCTCAAACTTACTTTTAAACAAAAGAAGACAACAGATGCGTTGTCACTACTAAGTACTGGAATGCCTTACAGCCTGTATTATACTAACTCTCTATACCTATCACACCGGGACACAGCAGTGCACGCATTGTTATTTGGTGGCAGGTACAGGGAGAGGGACACTTATCCATACGGACGCCAAGGCACAATAGGAGACCTAAATCCAATAAATATGACTAAGATACGAGTATATTTAATAAAGCAGTCTCACCTGTAGATCAGAGGGCTTCTCACGAAAGTGCATTCGTATATGCGTGCGCATCCCGCGTAGAGTATTGCCCCTGTACCGGCAAATAGTGCAACGGAATGCCTTGACTCCGGCGTGAGCTTCCATATGCCGCTGCGCCGCTACCGCTGTGGGTGATATCACCTCGCAACATGGACACTTCCATCCACCTTCAGGCCCCGAAGCAGGCCGAGTTACTTCGGGCAAGCTTCGAGGCGATCTAGTTTCTCTCTTCGTGCAGTAATAAGATTGATGTGTGGTCAAGTTGTCGAGGGAACTGAAATGTATTCCGCAAGCCAAGCAAATCAGTTGGCGGTATTGTGGCGGTGGTCCAGGCTCAGGAGGAGCAGGGCTCACTCGCTCGTCACAACCGCCAGCAGAACAGTAATGTCGCTTATGAATCCGATAGTTCTCATATTTGCAGAAGACAATGTTGCATTCTTTACACTTCGAGACACCCTGTTTAACTAAGACTTGAGGAGATGCGGGCGTTACTGGAAGTTCTGAAGCAAGTCGTAATGCTAACGCCGGTGGTAGAATTGCGGGCGGGACTACTGAAGTTAATTTATCTTCTTGTGGCGATGGTATACTTGGTGGTTTTGGAGTTGGGCCTCTAGAATTACGACGCCGTCTTTTTGGCGAACTTTCTCCACTAGGTGAAGAAGAACGTCGGGAAGGGGAAGGAGTTTCTGGTGATCCAGGTAATGATGGTGCACAAACGATTTGCTCAGGCGTAGTTGACCGTATTCTGTTTTCTTTCTCTTGGTCGTCCGCTGTTACAGATTCAGGCGATCGTCTAACACTAAGGTCGAGAGGTGCTGCACCGTCTCGAGACGGCTCGCGTGGACGATTAGCTGATTTCAATACTTCCGAATCTTTCCCATCTGCGTTAATATTTGGTAATGCTCGACTTAGTGGTTGGAAAGTTCCATTTGGTAACAGGAAACACGGTGTGTCTGGATCTGGCAGAGTCGCACCTGGCAGTGTGCTAGCGCTTCTCAAGAGCGAATACGGCACTATAAGAATTGGATTTGTTGGTAACGCGAGTGCATATTGGTTTTGTGCAGGTGGTGTGGCTCCGGGAGAAGGCGGAGCCGACCCTGATGTCACTGAGCCTCCTCTTGCCGCGGCTAAGACTTGTTTAACAACCTGTCTTGTGCTACAGTAGTGAGCTTTATGGGCACGATACGTTTTAATAGAACTAAAGCGAATATCACAATCAGCACAGTACCGATCCGGTGCTGGTGGGCTTTCACTCACTTCCCCGTTTGAGGTCGGGGGTGGCGCAGGGGTTCCACTATTTACAGGTGAAGACGAATGCATTCGCATATGTCGGTTCAAGCTTACTTTCTTATCAGCGCTGTAAGAACAATAGGTACAGGCGTACTGTTTTCCAGGTGGACGCGGAGTTTTCGCATCACTGCTAGATTCGTCAGCTGCTGCGTCGTTGGGTGTCTCCACGCTGTCTGGTGGTTTCGGCCGCCTATTCGAGCAGTAATGCTCTTGATGTGCTTGCAGCGTGCTGAGTGAAGAATATCGAATACCACATGGTTTGCACATATAGATCGGTGGAGTATTTGCTGGAATAAGAGCAGGAAAAGCGGCCGCAGTCAGTGCAAGGTATTCTCTTGCTTGTAAATTTGGCGCTGGAGGTGGTGACGGGGAAGGTGGTTCACGTTTTAAGGGTGTAGCTTGCGGCGCTAGGGCTGGGTCTGTCGCAAGGCTTGCATTGAGACGTAATCGTGGCGGAGAGGCTGCAGGTGAACTCCCTGAAGCAGGCGACGCTTCTCCACTGGAAGCCGCTTTCTCCCCTCCCGAGCTCGGCGTACGAGGTTCTCCAGGCATCGCCTCGCTCTCGTTTCCCCATTCCTCGTCCTCACCTGTGAATAAAGAAATATAAATGTAAATGTTGAATAATTTAACTCTATCTTGAAGGGACGTAAATGGAATGTTGAGTACTAGCACAAGAAGATTCAGTTACAATATCTGTTCCTATTAGTGTTGTTAATAGCTAAGTGATGCCACGTTGGCAGTGGTTCGCGATAGTCGTCACTCGTCACGTTTCCCTCGTTATCTATCGACGTCAGTCAGATCGTTGCTCGCGAGTCGAGGCATACATTAGCGCTCCTAATTGAGACGTGCTCGCAGTATGTAAATGTTGCTATGTGGGTGGGGCTATTGAGAAATGCAAGAAATGTGAGCACCGGACGACTTCGCGAATAGTTTGGGCAGCGTCATATCCATCATCTTATTCTGATGCAACAATGCGCGTCCGTCAATATCGCAGGCGTGAGCGTGATCGAACCGCGAGCAAACAGAACAAAAACTCAACGGGCCCTCATGTAATTGGATCAGATTTCCAGAAAACGCTCGCTCACCTTCCTTTTTGAGCGACAACGATCTTGGTCGAGCAAGGAATTAACCTATCTTTCGCGCAGCGATCTCAACTCAAAACGCCAATTAATGAGAGGCTCAACTTCATTCTCTTGCCCCTGTGAAGATCATTATATGGGCACGACAGCAAGATGGACGCGACGATTGGCGCACTGCGACCGCCATCTCGCGGTAACGAATACGACTTAAATCGGATTGCGTTCGGGTCACGCTATCCTAGTCAGCCTGCCGTTCGATTGGTCGTTACGATTTGCGTCAGACGTGCGATTGGTTAGGCTAATGCGTTCTATCTAGCGGTTTAATGTTGCCTTCGTACCAAACTCGAGTTTATCGGTTCGTTAGCTGCGTTGGAGCTCCTGTTTTTCACTAAATAAGTCATAACTTGCGATTGTTGGGAAAGGTTGAATGTTCAATCAGATAGATGGCGTGACTCGGTGTCGTTTAAGCAATGCTCGCTTAACCGAATGTCGATTCGTTAAATGATATTCATCTGGGTGCTTTTGTCTTTATAAACACGTCAAATAATGGCGGACGGCATGAGGGCGAGCACGCAACTCGCGAAATTGTTTTGTTTCAAGCTTCAGCACCCGTATAGTTGTGACTAGAAACTAGACAGCGCAGCGCGATAATAGATTGTGGTGTACACTTTGCTATCAAAGAAGCTTTGTTACGTATGTTGTGGTAGTTAACAAGGCATAGTGTTTTTAGCTCTTGAACCATGTTAAGCATATAATTTATTAAAACCAATAAGTCAATATAAATAAATAAAGATGTCTTTAACTACTTATATGTGAATTGTGCGATAAGGGTGCAGGCCTGCTCGTATTTATGAGTATGTAATGAAGGAGGAAATGTCTGCTGAGTTGTTCCGGAGCGTGGTCGTAGAATTACATAGTTCGTTTAAATTAGTGATCATTGTCGGCAGATATTGTTTTTGTTTCCCTGCAAAAAAAAAACAACGTACACTGTAACGTACACGTACCTAGTTTCTAAATATATCCAATATTTTCTTAAATAAGTTGGTATGTACCTATCTTGGATATATTTACCTACTTTAATTGTTTTCATTTCATTATGTTTAGAATAACTTGTCACTTCCGTGTCTGATTTAACATTGGCAGAATTTTATCAAAATAATCAATAAGTAAATTAAAAAAGAAGCAGTGGTCTATTGATTTCAACTAAGATAAAGATTTTGATATTTTCGCAATTTAAAACAATCGTTCTATTGTTTGATAGCGTGATAAGGACGAAATAACCTTTTTATACCTCACCATATAAAAATTGTTTCTGTTTTTATTTTATCATCGGCATAGCACGGCCCGTAAAGTCCACAGCTGTGCGCAGGCCTCTCGTGTTGTTTGCAGGATTCACCTTAATCGTCAGTCGTCACCCTTTCCAGGTGAATAGACGATGCAATATCAGAGGTCATCATCTGGATATTTTAAGTCTGGCGTAAATGATGTTAACGAAGGCTACTTTCAACTTTTAAATATTATTCTTTGGTGTCGAACGAGTTTAATGGTATCTTAAAGTCTTGCAGAAGTATACCTTGCTTTGAATTTAATTTATATTATTAATAATGGGATTCCAAGCAAATGATAGTATCAAAAACTTCTAGTATGTACATAGAAATCTTTGGGTGTGGTTGCGCGGAAAACCATTCGCGTTTTTTATTTTTGACGGTAGGAATTTGTCGAATCATTATTCCCTTCCGAAACAATATCATTCGTACCCTCCTATCGACACATCGGGGTGGTGGGGTGGGAGGGGAAAGAAGACGATTCTAGAACATCGCGTAATCATCGGACCCGAGGATATATAAGACACGCGCGACCGACGCGCGCTCTCTTCTCCCGCCGCAGTCGTCGTTGAACTACAACCTCCTCTTCCCGCGCGCTCGTTTGGAAACACCTCACTAGTGGAAACCGCTTTGGCCTGGAAGCAGTCGAGCTCCAGGAACCCGCCTCACCTCGTGTGAGATATCGTCGCGCACCGCCTCTCTCCGGAGTGTTCCGGAAGTCGCCGCCATAGTGATCGACAGGAAGAAGAAACCCCGGTGAGTCAATACTCCTTAATTATACCTGCTTGCTAATAATTTAACCCGCTCCAATTTGTGTTTTTTTCCTAGTCAAGCAGGATTCCTTTCATCGATTCGACAAGTAATAGTTTAGTTTAGGGAAGAGCGAGTGCATTGTACCGCATGCTATAGTAGTCGCTTCACATAAGCATAGAAGCAATCGCATATACAGTCCACTTTAGTTAATATCTCGCGTAATAGGTTTGAGGTTTGACCGGGGAACTAGATTTTCGGCAGCCTTAAACACGTGGCTCCACCATTTTATGGTCACTTCGGCAGGATCTGGATTGGTGTTTAGTGGTTATCCAACCATTTTCTGGTCGAATTATTAAATTAATTGTTTAGATAACGCACTCTAACTTATGGAATAGACTTAAATAGTGTTCGTTTAAATTAAAATTTTGATTTGTTACTCGCAAACAGAATTATTCATTTAATAGCGCTCGTATTTGGTTAAATTTAAAGCTTATTAAATAATTGAAACGGCGTGATAGCAACCGTTTGATACGCTTACCCCACAATTTTATAAAATTATTAGGTTTAGCAAACGACGCGTAGCCTTGACTGCATCGGGCGCTCGATCTGATTACGTAATACAGCACGCCGAGTATTCATCCTACGTCGTTTATGCGTGTGAGATTAATTGTGATTAATATAACTTTATTATAATAATTTAAAATGGCAGTTAGTGGAAGTGAAATCAAAATTAAAACGCTTTATGCCAAGAGGGACATACTCTTTTCGCGTGTGCAAAATATAAGTGATTATATAAAGAACATTCATATAGAGGCAGTACGGGAGGCCTTTTTAAATGAAATCGAAACGATTGATAATTTGCGGACAGATTACGAAAGAATATTAGACCAAATTAATCATTCGGAACTACAAACCGACCCGAAATACATAGTGAACTACCAACCGCTGCTGGCATTCGAAGATATGTTGTGTCGCGTGAAGAGAACCGCAAAATTGCTACAATCTCAAGGTGAAGCGAAGCCTGAAATGCAGGTACGCCCTCGTGACTCAATTAGGTTACCGCCAATAGATATTCCGGTATTCAATGGTGATATTAAGACGTGGCCCTTCTTCTTCAGTAGTTTTCAAAACAATATACACAACAACCCATCGTTATCGGACGCTGAAAAATTATATTACTTAATTAGCAAACTTAGTGGCAGAGCACAGTCGATCTGCTCGGGTTTTACACCTACAGCAAACAATTACGTATTAATATTTGAAACGCTTAAAACTAAATATGAAGATAGGAGAATGTTAGCTTCCGAATATTTGAACCAGATATTCGATCTTAAACCTATATCATCCGCGAACATCAACGGCTTAGAGCAGTTTCTCGATAAATTTGTGGCATCGGTGGCTGCACTTAAGAATTTGAAGTTTGATGACCTTATGGACGTGGTGTTTCTCCATATAGCATTAAAGAAATTAGACTCCGACACCGTGCGTGCGTTTGAAATGGAGCATCGTAGCTCGGAGATGCCTTCCTTTCATTCATTAGCATCGTTCGTGCGAGATCAAATAAAGGTGATGCAGCGCTCACCGAACGTTAAACAGGAGATTAAAAGGTGCGTCGACCGTAGACAGACTCAACCATCTAAAATAGCAGGGTCGTTAACTTACGTAACCGCTACGCCGACATCGCTCCAGCATACTTGTATAGTATGTAAAGATAAACACGGTAACTTATATAACTGTGCGACTTTTCGTAAATATTCACCAAGCGAACGTTATAAGTTAGTAAAGACAAACAACCTATGTTTGAACTGCTTAAGCGATAAGCATTTAGTTGCAAAATGCAATTCGAGTTCCGTATGTAGCAAGTGCGCCAGGAAACATCACACGCTATTACATTTTGAAAATAGCAACATAGCGGCGTCAAGTAAGGCGAATAAGGAATTCACCCCTACTAAGGTCAACGATTCTAGCGGTCGACCTGATGATGTCGCTCTGTGCTCATTGGCAAATATGGGAGCACAACCTCCTTCAACCGTGTTACTGGGTACGGCGCGTATTTTGGTTAGGGATTCGCGTGGAAACAAACAAAGCGTCCGTGCACTGCTGGACAGCGGAGCCCAAAATAGCTTTATAACACGACAATGTTGTCAGCGCTTAGGCTTAGTAATAAATAGGTCACTTTCATGTCCTGTAGTTAAAGGCATCGGAGGTACTAGTAAAGCGACACAGGGATATATAAATTTAAAATTTTATTCTCGGATAGATCGTAACGTTAACTTTGATATAAATGCACTAGTAGTAGATAGGGTCACTGAACGGTTGCCAACCGTTTCGGTTGACACCTCGGCAATGATTGAATTTAAAAATTTGACTCTAGCAGACGACACTTACGCCGTTCCTGGAAACATAGACATGCTCATTGGGGCATCGCTTTTCCCTCATCTTTTGTTAAACAATAAGGTCAGGGGCAACTCCTCGCATACCGCGCCTTACGCACTGGAAACCGTATTGGGCTATGTGATCCTTGGCTCCGCCCCCATCCTAGATAGTATTTCGGCAGCCTCTTATTGTGGTATGGCTGTCGAACCGCTCGAGTCGTTAGTCCGCAAATTTTGGGAGATGGAGGAGGTGAACGTCCCACCCATAGCTAGTTCAGCTGACAGGATATGCGAGGAAATTTACGTCCGCACGACCGTTCGTGATCGCGACGGTAGATATAGTGTAGCGCTACCCTTTAAGGGAGATGTTTTATCTCTCGGCGATTCGCGTCAAATGGCGGAAAAACGTTTCTACAGCTTGGAGCGTAGGATGCTCGCTTCGCCCCAGTTAAAGGAAGCTTACGACGGCGTCATTAACGAATATATAAGAGAAGGTTACATATCACTTGTGGCTTCGAAATTAGATAACTACGAAGACACACCGTCGTATTTTATACCACACCACGGAGTCATTAGAGAGGACAAACTTACATCTAAATTACGTGTAGTGCTCGACGCTAGTGCTAAAACTAGCACTCACCTGTCGCTTAACGATATCCTCTATAGTGGGCAAAATTTACAGGGCAGCTTATTCGATATAATAGTCAATTTTCGTTTGTTTAGTATAGCACTATCCGCCGATATTCGCCAAATGTTTCTTTGCATAGGGGTCCGTGAATGCGACCGTAGATTCCAGCGCATTTTATATCGTTTCAACCCAAAGGAACCTCTAATGGTGTTTGAATTTAACCGCGTTTGTTTTGGTTTAAAGTCGAGCCCATTTCATGCGTTACGCACGGTGAGACAGCTCGCTCACGATGAAGGTCCCTCTTATCCTAAAGCTAAGAGGGCAATTGAGAGCGGATTATATATGGATGATTTTGTGTATTCGGTCGATAGCGTGGAGGAGGCCACCCTAACCACCGCCGAGGTTATAAGGCTCATGAAATCGGGTCAATTCGATCTTGTGAAGTGGACTAGTAATTCGCGTCCGGTTTTAGATACAATCCCACTATCACACCGTCTTTCGGCGATAAAGGAATTCGACGATTCCGATACACACAAGGTGCTCGGTCTGTGTTGGTCACCAGAGTCCGACGTGTTTAGCCTTAAGGTAAATCCGCCCGTAGAGAAATGCACAAAGCGCACAATACTGTCATGCGTTGCTAGATTATGGGACGTCATGGGTTTCGTAGCTCCGGTGGTATTATACGCTAAGCTTTTGATTAAACAACTTTGGTTATTTGAATGCGATTGGGATGACTCGCCGCCTGACAGCATTGTTCGATTGTGGCAGCGCTTTAGAGAGGAACTTCCTTTACTAAGAGAAATTAAAATACCGCGTCATATAAATGTCGATAGAAATAGCAGCATAACGGTTGTTGGATTTGCAGACGCCAGCGAGAAGGCTTACGGGGGGCGTTGTATATTTCCATGTCCAGAATAATGGTAGAAATTCGATTAGCCTCATTAGTTCTAAGTCGAGAGTCTCCCCCCGTAAGGTTGTCTCTCTGGCGCGCTTAGAGCTTTGCGCAATA